TGACATTAAGGTAATAATATAAAATGCAAGGTTATCTTATTATAGTATGTACTTTTAATAGAATGTTATTTAACAGATACATTCTTTATATATATAATATTATATATAATAATAGTCGTGCTATCTGTCTTTTCGTATTTTTCTTATACTTAGTTATCTAAATCCGTTCTACTGAATCCTGCACACACTGCGTCGTGCATCAGCGCTGCGTGTCTTCCCTGAAACCAGAGTGAAATGTGTAATTTGATTTGGTGTGTGTGTGTGTGTGTGTGTGTGTGTGTGTGTGTGTGTGTGTGTGTGTGTGTGTGTGTGTGTGTGTGTGTGTGTGTGTGTGTGTGTGTGTGTGTGTGTGTGTGTGTGTGTGTGCGTGTGCGTGTCTCGTCAGGTCTATGGAAATGCAGGATCTAGCCAGTCCTCACAGCAGAGTAAGTGGAAGCAGTGAATCTCCTAATGGTCCCAACCTCGACAACTCCCACATCAATAACAATTCCATGACACCCAATGGCACTGAAGGTATGTGAGCCGCCATTTATACTCACCTTCTTCATCATAGTCTTCTGTTGGAGTTAACATTTAAAAAGGCCTGAGAGTGAAACTGAGATTTTAAACTGAAAGTAACTCAGTGTAGTCTTCATGCATTTGAAGCAACACAGCCTTTGCAAGTTAATGGAAAAAGTGTCACCAAAACCGCATTTTAAGTATTTCTGGTGCAAAATTGTCTGTTTTTAGACTGAAATATGGATATTTTCTTACTTTCCTTTGTGTTATTTTCATGTTGAAGTGAATATCTGTAAACAACAATACATTTTCTCCGACTTTGAGAAACTTGAATGGATATTTCCTGTCATTTTATAGACTATACATCAAAAGTGAATCATATTGTTTGCAGTATTGTATTAAACAGCCAGTAAGTCAATGCACTTCATTTGTTTTGTTCAGCGACTATTAGCTGTTTATCTAAGCACCCATGTAATTATTCAAAGCCCTCGGCATGGAAATGAGTGAGTTTTGCATCAGCTCTCTACTGTACATAGTTATTTACTCAGGTGATTCACCTCCTGTGCACAAATGTGAGCCTTTGTTTAGTGAAGCAGTCACAAACAGGAAACACAGGCTTCCCTCTCTGCAGACTGTCATGTGTCCCTCTGTAATTCTGTCTTTCCCAGGTGATAACATCACAATGCTTACCACTGCAGACTGGTTGTTAGGGTCTAACTCACAGTCCGCTGCAGGTTGGTCTACTCCGGAGATGCTGAAAGCACAATACTGAGAGCAAAGACACACTTTGTACATCTGGAAATGTAATTTAAAGGTCACCTATTATACTGTTTTTCATTCATATATTACAGGTCTCAGATATATACAGAGCCTGTCTCTGATTGGCTGAAACACCAAACAGATCATTGCAGCATTACCCATAATCCCCTCTGTTTCAGCCCTGTTTCCAAAGTGCTGATTCTCTGTCTGTTACTTTAGATGAAAATAAGGAGCCCCTCCCCACGCCCCTCTGAGAGACATTTGGTTAAAAAGAAGTCAATGGTGCTCTAGGAGGAGATTCAGGTGATAAGGGGGGGGGGGGGGGGTTACCTTGGTTGCTGATTGGCTAATGGTTACACAAGCCAACACATCGTTATGACATCATAAAGTGGCCAAAATCTGATCAGCTCATTTTCAGACAGGTTTTTATAGAAATGGATCAAAAAGAGAGAGAATCTTTGTTCCTGAAACTTTCAGAGTCTCTTTCCACAGAGGGGACACATGTTGATGTAGAAGAGACATGAAGAAGAGGGGACACATGTTGATGTATAAGAGACATGAAGAAGAGGGGGCACATGTTGATGAAGAAGAGACATGAAGAAGAGGGGACACATGTTGATGTAGAAGAGACATGAAGAAGAGGGGACACATGTTGATGTAGAAGAGACATGAAGAAGAGGGGACACATGTTGATGAAGAAGAGACATGAAGAAGAGGGGACACATGTTGATGTAGAAGAGACATGAAGAAGAGGGGACACATGTTGATGTAGAAGAGACATGGAGAAGAGGGGACACATGTTGATGAAGAAGAGACATGAAGAAGAGGGGACACATGTTGATGAAGAAGAGACATGAAGAAGAGGGGACACATGTTGATGTAGAAGAGACATGAAGAAGAGGGGACACATGTTGATGTAGAAGACACATGAAGAAGAGGGGACACATGGTGATGTAGAAGAGACATGAAGAAGAGGGGACACATGTTGATGTAGAAGAGACATGAAGAAGAGGGGACACATGTTGATGTAGAAGAGACATGAAGAAGAGGGGACACATGTTGATGTAGAAGAGACATGAAGAAGAGGGGACACATGTTGATGAAGAAGAGACATGAAGAAGAGGGGACACATGTTGATGTAGAAGAGACATGAGGAAGAGGGGACACATGTTGATGTAGAAGAGACATGAAGAAGAGGGGACACATGCTGATGTAGAAGAGACACGAAGAAGAGGGGACACATGTTGATGTAGAAGAGACATGAAGAAGAGGGGACACATGTTGATGTAGAAGAGACACGAAGAAGAGGGGACACATGTTGATGTAGAAGAGACATGAAGAAGAGGGGGCACATGTTGATGTAGAAGAGACATGAAGAAGAGGGGACACATGTTGATGTAGAAGAGACATGAAGAAGAGGGGACACATGTTGATGTAGAAGAGACATGGAGAAGAGGGGACACATGTTGATGTAGAAGAGACATGAAGAAGAGGGGACACATGTTGATGAAGAGACATGAAGAAGAGGGGACACATGTTGATGTAGAAGAGACATGAAGAAGAGGGGACACATGTTGATGTAGAAGAGACATGAAGAAGAGGGGACACATGTTGATGTAGAAGAGACATGAGGAAGAGGGGACACATGTTGATGTAGAAGAGACGTGAAGAAGAGGGGACACATGTTGATGAAGAAGAGACATGAAGAAGAGGGGACACATGTTGATGTAGAAGAGACATGAAGAAGAGGGGACACATGTTGATGTAGAAGAGACATGAGGAAGAGGGGACACATGTTGATGTAGAAGAGACATGAAGAAGAGGGGACACATGTTGATGTAGAAGAGACATGAAGAAGAGGGGACACATGTTGATGAAGAAGAGACATGAAGAAGAGGGGACACATGTTGATGTAGAAGAGACATGAAGAAGAGGGGACACATGTTGATGTAGAAGAGACATGAGGAAGTGGATTTTGTATAATAGGTGACCTTTAAAACCTTAAAAAATACACTGCAAAATGATCAAATTGCCTCATTGATTGTGCCTTTCATTGGTTGTGGTCGTCTGTTCAAAGCATGATTTGACACAGACTGGATTTGAGTCCGTTGTTAGTGGATTTTGAAGTTTTCTTTCTCTGAGTGTGTGCTTCTTTATGCATGCACCTTGTTTAGTCCTGGGTGTGTTCCTGTATAACGGAAACGTGTAAAACGTGACAGAAACTGGCTGCTTCCTCCCAAAATGCCCACATTGTCAATTTGTTTTGCCGTTAAAAAAAAGGAGAGAGAAGAGAGAGAGTCCTCCTGCAGTGAAATGGATTGATTTCAGAGATTCCTGCGCTGTCAGAAAGCTGTGAAATCCTCTCTGCAGTTTCATCGCTGTGTGAAGGAGTCGAGGTCACACAGCGTTCGTTACACTCTTAAAACATTTTTATATACCGTACGACTCCCTGACATTTCATTTGTAGTCCTACGTCTCTGAGGAGCGCTTTTAAAAAGAATCAGTGCCTCTAGCACACTTCTTAAGAGCTGATAAGCCAGTAATTGATCATGAATTAATAATGTCATAATTACTTAATGCTCAGTACAAATTACCGTCTGATTTATGCACGTCAAGGCAAGTTTATTTAATGCTTAAGACGACAGAACAAGCTAACATGAATACAAAATTAATAAAATACAATAAGAATGTGAATGTTTTATTGATTTAATAGACAATAATACAAAAAAGAACAGGCGTTTATATTGTTTTTTGTGAAATAGTTCAAATTAAATTGTAAAAAACATGGATTTTTGTTCATTTTTAAATGTGAAATGCATTTGAGTAAATTGCACCATTAGATAAATCCTGTCAAAAATTATAGAAATAGAAAAATCAAACGAGACGGAACGTATTTCTAATTCCTGATTATTTTCAATCCTGAATGTTGTTTGAAGCCTTCCTCCTCATTGTGCATTTTTCTATTTGAATTTTTTTTTTTTTACAGCGATGTTTTTGTTGTGAATGTGAAAATCCAAATTGATTGATTTTATTTAAAAAAAATTATTTGATGCATTTTGATGACAGTTTGTCTTCTTCTTTTGTTTGCAGTTAAATCCGAGCCAATGAGCAGCAGCGAAATCGCCACTTCGGTAGCAGACACCTCTCTAGACAGCTTCTCAGGATCAGGTGAGACACACACACACACACACACACACACACACACACACACACACACACACACACACACACACACACACACACACACACACACACACACACACACACACTAACTAATTATTGGAGATGAACATAAAAATGGACAACCTATTAGTCTCTAAAACATAGTGTGTGTGAAGAAGAAGGGACGTCACTTGTGTTAGCACGTGTGTGTGTGTGTGTGTGTGTGTGTGTGTGTGTGTGTGTGTGTGTGTGTGTGTGTGTGTGTGTGTGTGTGTGTGTGTGTGTGTGTGTGTGTGTGTGTGTGTGTGTGTGTGTGTGTGTGTGTGTGTGTGTGTGTGTGAGAGAGCGTGTGCGTGTGTGTGTGTGTGTGTGAGAGCGTGTGTGTGTGTGTGTGTGTTACCGCTGCTGGTTCCCATGCCAGTGCAGACTGAGTTATGACCCTCAGTGCTCTGAACCTGTCTGTCTGCTGGAGTGACACGGCGTCTCACTCTCCACGGGCTGTTACCCTATCACCCTGACACACACACCCCCTCACACACACACACACACACACACACACACACACAGTCCTCTCACACACACACACACACGTCTAAATAAACCCCTCAGAGTATAATAAGCATTGTAGGAGTTGTAAGAGAAATATCCCTAATGTGATAATTTCTATTTTCTGGTCTCTCTCTTTTATTTTCTATGAACACACTCTGCTGCCAATCATTTTACAGTTTTTCCTAAAACTATTTAACTGAGTACCTGATACTTAACACTTAAAGCATAAATCACTTTCCTCTGTGACAATTTTAATGAAATGTATAGTAACGCTATCCTCAGAGGGGGAAACCCAGGTTGTGTCCGGTGCTGCTGAAAGGTGTTCAATACAAGTGTGTGTGTGTGTGTGTGTGTGTGTGTGTGTGTGTGTGTGTGTGTGTGTGTGTGTGTGTGTGTGTGTGTGTGTGTGTGTGTACAGTTAGCCCCCCCCCCTCCACCAGTGAAATCCCTTATTCTAAATGTCATGACCAATTAGACTCATGTTTTAATAATAAGGTTAAATGCAGCAGAACTGTGATAATTAATTTTAACACAAATTAAATGTATCTGTTGTGTTTTTATACCACATGTTGATATAAATGCATTAATAAGGCCTAATATTTAATACAATAAAGATACAATTTAAGTAATAATGCAGCGTGTCGAGTTTCAGGTTAGAGTTTTTAAAGAAAATGTAGTTTTTTATAATTTTTTCGCCAACGTTGCTTTTTGTGAATCTTGAAACTACATGTTTCTCTGAGGTTTCACTTTTACTCTCATTCTACCAGCATGTTTAATAAATAATGAATAACAACAAGAAACATCTATTATAGAACAATAAGCTAATTCTTCTTGAAACCATTTTAGTTTGGTAATTAAAGTAGTCTAAGAAATACAACTCAATATAAATATGTTTGTAAAGTAAGAACTAATTTGCATATTGTTAAAATTAAATTAAAAACATAGCACACACACACACACACACACACACACACACACACACACACACACACACACACACACACACACACACACACACACACACACACACACACACACACACACACACACACACACATTGATGTGGGAGATGTCGAGGTTGTGACCATTAGGAGATTCACTGCTTCCACTTACTCTGCTGTGAGGACTGGCTAGATCCTGCATTTCCATAGACCTGACGAGACACACACACACACACACATCTGCACACACACACACACACACACACACACACACACACACACACACACACACACACACACACATCTGCACACACACAGACATCTGCACACACACACACATCTGCAGAAACACACACACACGCATCTGCAGACACACCACACACACATCTGCAGACACACCACACACACATCTGCACACACACACACAGACACACACATCTGCACACACACATGAGGAAATGTGAGTGTGATAGTGTGTGTAACTTTAAATCACGACGCATGTAATCAATCTATTTTACTTATTTATTCAAACTGAATTTGCCAAATTGTGTTATTTTAACTGGGACATTAGTATTTTTCCAAATCTGTAATTTAGAACTAATTAATAATATTATAATAATATTAGTAATAATTCATTACAATGATATTTAGTCATTAGGAACTCATTTAATTGTTATAAGTCATGTATAATTGGAATAAAAGCAGCTGTAAGATATGAAAAAAACGACTTTATTGTATGAATAATGCTGCGGATCCAAAACAAATTCACCTCAGTGAGATGTTAGTGTCTGAACCTTAACGAGGGACAGATTACGCAGTAGCACTCGTTAATAACTCCAATCAGTGATGTCACTTCCTGTGGCTGGGACGTCCTGTTTGTGTTTACAGCAGCCGTCGTCATAGATACACAGAATCACAACGCTGACGTTTCTACCTGATTATTTTTACTTCATTATTGCTCCGACCTCAGGAAGGGTTAGCTCAATAAATAAAGCCAAGCGGCGTGATTACCTTCTGTTGGCGAGAGATAATATTTACCTCATTTCCTAACGTTTGAATACGTGCGTCTCTCTTTCCTCTCCTCTCTCCTCAGCCATTGGAACCAGTGGCTTCAGCCCAAGACAAACTCACCAGTTCTCTCCGCAGATTTACCCCTCCAAGTAAGGCTTCTTCGACTCTCTTTAAGAAAACAAGCAGCGTCCGACTTCATTTGGACCTTTAATTAGATCCTTCTGCTGATCTGTGGGTGGGGGGGTGGGTTTCTAACCGGCTTTGTTTGTCTGGATGTCTGCAGCTTCTCTCAAATCTGTTGTAATGAATATCTAGTGCCATTTATTGTTCTTTAAACGTGAGCTGAGCGATGCTATCTGTGCTGAAAATGAAGTAGCACAGTCAGGGGGGAATGTGTCAGCTCGCACAGTTTGGGGTTTCCAGAGTTTAACATGTTTGTGTTTCTTTTTCTCAAATAGCAGAACATATCCGCATATTCTTCCTACCCCTTCATCCCAAAATATGGCAGCGTACGGGCAGACGCAGTACACCACAGGAATGCAGCAGGCCGCGGCGTATGCTAGCTATCCTCAGCCTGGACAGCCTTATGGCATCCCTGCTTATGGTAAGAAACACACATCCTTTCCTCAAGTAGAAGTACACATACTCGTGTTTAAAAATACTCTGGTGAAAGAAGTAGAAGTGCTGACTGAAGTCCGTGTTTCGAAGTGTGAACACTGCCTTAAAGAGTGATGCACATGTTAAGATGTACAATAAGCAGGGTGTTAAAATACATATTATCTTTTCACAATACCGAAAGATTGTACTCTATAAAGTATTTGAGTAAATGCGTTGAGCAGAGATGGCAAAAGTACACACATCCTTTCCTCAAGTAGAAGTACAGATACTCGTGTTTAACAATACTCAAGAAGTATGGGCTTTGAAATGTACTTCAGTAGAAAGTACCCATAACTAGCAGCTGTTTTAAAGAGTACCTGACCTCCCTTTATATTAATAGAACAATAATGTTATTGTTAGCTAATGAATGTTTCCATGCTGAACAACGGCAACATGACAACGTTTTCATTGGTCCCTCTTCTTTAGAGAAGACCAGGAAATGATGGATACACGGATCGTGTTCAAATCAATAGGCACGCAATGACTCTAAATAATAATGATCACGCCACCAAACACACATTCAAACTAAAGGAACCAGCCTGTTTGGGAAATGTGAGAAGTAGAAAGTACAGGTATTTGAGTTCAACATGTGAGAAGTAGAAAGTACAGGTACTTGGGTTCAACATGTAAGAAGTAGAAAGTACAGGTATTTGGGTTCAACATGTAAGAAGTAGAAAGTACAGGTGTTTGGGTTCAACATGTAAGAAGTAGAAAGTACAGGTATTTGGGTTCAACATGTAAGAAGTAGAAAGTACAGGTATCTGTGTTCAACATGTAAGAAGTAGAAAGTACAGGTATTTGTGTTCAACATGTAAGAAGTAGAAAGTACAGGTATTTGTGTTCAACATGTAAGAAGTAGAAAGTACAGGTATCTGTGTTCAACATGTAAGAAGTAGAAAGTACAGGTATTTGTGTTCAACATGTAAGAAGTAGAAAGTACAGGTATTTGTGTTCAACATGTAAGAAGTAGAAAGTACAGGTATTTGTGTTCAACATGTAAGAAGTAGAAAGTACAGGTATTTGAGTTCAACATGTAAGAAGTAGAAAGTTCAGGTATTTGTGTTCAACATGTAAGAAGTAGAAAGTACAGGTATTTGTGTTCAACATGTAAGAAGTAGAAAGTACAGGTATTTGAGTTCAACATGTAAGAAGTAGAAAGTACAGGTATTTGTGTTCAACATGTAAGAAGTAGAAAGTACAGGTATTTGTGTTCAACATGTAAGAAGTAGAAAGTACAGGTATTTGAGTTCAACATGTAAGAAGTAGAAAGTACAGGTATTTGTGTTCAAAATGTAAGAAGTAGAAAGTACAGGTATTTGTGTTCAACATGTAAGAAGTAGAAAGTACAGGTATTTGGGTTCAACATGTAAGAAGTAGAAAGTACAGGTATTTGAGTTCAACATGTAAGAAGTAGAAAGTACAGGTATTTGTGTTCAACATATAAGAAGTAGAAAGTACAGGTATTTGGGTTCAACATGTAAGAAGTAGAAAGTACAGGTGTTTGGGTTCAACATGTAAGAAGTAGAAAGTACAGGTATTTGTGTTCAAAATGTAAGAAGTAGAAAGTACAGGTATTTGTGTTCAACATGTAAGAAGTAGAAAGTACAGGTATTTGGGTTCAACATGTAAGAAGTAGAAAGTACAGGTATTTGAGTTCAACATGTAAGAAGTAGAAAGTACAGGTATTTGGGTTCAAAATGTAAGAAGTAGAAAGTACAGGTATTTGGGTTCAAAATGTAAGAAGTCAAAGTAAAAAGTAGTCAGAAAAATAAGTAGTGGAGTAAAGTACTGATACCAGAAACATGTACTTAAGTACAGTAACAAAGTATTTGTACTCCACTATTAATTCCTCCCAAACCTCCTCTACATCTAGATATTTCTGAAGGTCAGGACTTCCCACATTTCCTTCAGAGCTGCTGACTTCTTGTTTAGTGCCTGCATGTTCTGGAATAAAACAGAATCAGCTTGTCAAGCTCTTCTTCTCGTAGATTAGCGATAGAAATCTGCAAACAAAACATCTTCCCCTGGCAGAGTGAACGCAGAGTACACGGCTCTCTGTGGGCTTTATTTGTCCAAAGTCTTTCCAGTGTTTCGACCCCGAAAGACTCTCCAATATGTGCAGGAATTCACGGTGTTTATTTGAGTGGAGTCCGAACTGCATCGTGACTGATTGAATGTAAGCAGAGGTTGGTTTCCCCCCTCAAACACACGCAGTATGTTTCATTACTGCTGCATCTTCTCACACATGACCTGCATTAGATGATTTAATACTAGATATATAATCTGGAACTAGAAAATCTGGCAACGCCCTCTTGGAAAATAGTGGGAGGGTTTAACATTCCCAGATACTGGTCTTTGGCAGGTCTTAGGCAGGTAACTGGCAGGTAGTAGGCAGTAAGCTGGAGTCTGAAATAAGATGCTCCATCTGTATCAAACAACCACAGTCCTGACACGCTGTTTGGTTTAGCAATGAGACAGAAAGACACTTCCAAACAAGCGGAGAAGTCTTGAATCAGATCATCTGTGAGATACAGATTCTATAAAGTCAGACTGAAGCATCCTTTGTGCAGTAAAGTTATTGCATAAATATAACTTCAAGTAGGAAAAGTACTTAATATGCATAATATCTCATCTGAGGTTTTAGGATCTCAAGTATTACACTTAAGTAAGATTTGCGTTACTTGTATTTTCTTTTTTACACTGTTACGTATCAGGTGAATTTGAACAAGACATCAATAAAGTTTCATCTTTTTATCCTATAACTATACACAATGATACATTTTGTACTCAGTCTACAATATGTGACTTTTAATGTAAGTGTAATAAATGTATAAAGTAGCATAAAAAGGAAATACAAGTACTTAAAATTGTGCTTAAGTTTAGTAACAGAGGTACAAATACAGAGGCTCTTTGAGCAGGTGTTCTCTCAGTGATTGTGCTGTTACAGTATGTTCAATGTTCGTTGTTTGTTTTCCATGTATTGTGTCTTGATATAGTGACTTTGTGTATTTTGGATGAAGTGTGCAACTCTTTAAGATAAGATAAGAACGGTCTGTTTATAATAATGTCTAATTCACTGGTTTTGGTGCAGAGAGTTTTGAGTATTTCAAGTTAAGTGTGCAACTCTTTGCGTTGAATGAGTGCTCTTATTCCTACAGCTAATTATAATAATATATATTTTGTATTGGACCGTTCAGTTCTCCTTTAGTGTACTCTACCCATAAGTTAAATAGGCACAATAATAACAGTTTTAACACCAGGCAGGGCCTTGCTTTTCCATGAGAGAAAATACGATTTTTGCGTTGAATGAAGTGACTGATCTGACCTTTAAAGTATTATCGTATCTTCTCGTATAAGCTAAGCTAACAGACCAGCTGTGTGTTGACTGTTGTTGTGCATGAAACCGATGAGGTGTCACTAACATGTTGAGGACCCTTGTTTGCAGGCATAAAGACAGAGGGGGGTCTGAGTCAGTCTCAGTCTCCAGGACAGACGGGGTTCCTGGGGTACAGCTCGGGGTTCACCACGCCGCAGACCGGACAGGCGCCGTACAGCTACCAGATGCAGGGTGAGGACGCGTTCTGCATTTCTCTACGTGCTTTTTCACTTTGGACGGATACCTGGTGTCAAAATGCAAGGCCTACAAATGTCAGAAAATGCTGTTTTCTTCTCTGAAACATGGGGATTTCCTGGTTTTCTCAGTTTTAAATCATATCAAGTCAATATCTTTAGACATTTAGAGACTTTAGCTTGGATTTTCTGACATTTTGAGATGTGTTTTTCTGTCTTTTAAAGCTGGCAGCATGTCCAATTGTACAGTTGTATCATGTTTACAGCAAACATTGGTGAAACGGCATCATGACAGGTTTTTGGACATTTATAGACATAACATAGGACCTTGACAATCTTGGATGGACATGTTGTCTCATTTCCATGTCCCTGCCATGTGTCTCCTCTGCTTAGCCCATTCAAATAAGGTTTATTGTTCTCTTTCTCCAAAACATGAGAGTATAACGTGCTCTGTCTCTGATTTAATAGACTCACTCCCTCTCACTCACCCCCCAAAACATGGCTTTGGTCGTTATGTCAGCCTCCCTCCTTTCTCCTCTTAAAAGAATCAACACAGAGAGAAAAATGTCCGGCACTCAGCAGCCATGTCCTCTTCTCCGTCTGTCTTTGTTTTCCTCTCCCTGTGATCATATTAGTATTTGTTTAAGAGCTGAGAGCGCTGTGATTTATGGCCTCGAGAGCGATTAAGATGAGTTTTACCTTCTCCTGAAATGCACTGCAGTCTTTCTCCCGTAGTAAAGTGTGATTTCTCCTAGGGCTGTGCGATTATGGCAAAAATCATAATCACGATTATTTTGGTCAATAATTGATATCACGATTATTAAAAACGATTATCCATTTACTTTGAAAACATCCATTTATTGAAAAATAAAATTGGAACAGTATGTTTTTAACAGTTGATTACCCTGAACTTAAAGTATAATTCAACTGAAAAACCAATAAAAAAAAATGTTAAAAAAAATAATAATTACATTTTTTTTTTTTTTTTTTATCAAAATAATAATCGTTTTATTTCGATTACGTTGTTTTCGTAATCGTTGCAAGCCAAAATCGTAATCGAGATTAAAATACGATTAATTGCACAGCCCTAATTTCTCCTCATGTTGTTGAGAGTGTCTCCCAGTAAACACCTGCAACTCAGCAGCAGATGTGTTGCACAGCGAAGCCTCTTTTCCACGCCTCTTGTCCAAATACAGTCTGAGTGTTGAGCATGCAGACGGAGACGAAGAGGAGAGGGAGAGGAAGAGCAGAGGGAGAACGTATGGCAGAGTGTTTAAACTGCAGTGGTTAAACTCACGATGACAGTATTATGTGCTCGTCTGTCTGTGGCTGCAATTAACACTTTAGATTAAGGTGCACATATTCACCATCAACTAGTTGTTCATTAACATGCATATTAGAGCCAAACTACCAGCTTATTAGTGAACATATTCTGAGTTAGAAATACCTGATTTTAAGTTATTTGGACACAGTTAACACTTTCATGTCTTGTTACAAAAGAGTAAACCACATTTGTGTTATTATGGGATAATTACTATTCTTGTGGTGCTGCTGCTGCATATTGAGCATATGAAGACCCTCTCATGTACACTATTTCCTTACGTACAATAAATAAGCACTCATTAGAGGGTTATGTAGGTACGTGTAGAATAAGGCATTCATAAGTGTTTTATAGGCGCTGAGAAGCCTCTTTTCCACGCCTCCAAATACAGTCTGAGTGTAGAGCATGCAGACGGAGACGAAGAGGAGAGGAAGAGGACGAGCAGAGGGAGAACGTATGGCAGAGTGTTTAAGCTGCAGTGGTTAAACTCACGATGACAGTATTATGTGCTCATTCATCTCCAACATTACGCTCCGTCTGTCTGGCTGTAACTGGCAGGCCTGTGAAATGACAGATTGAGCACTATGAGTCTCTAACTGAGCGTCAGCAGAACTATTGATCTCCTGTCTGTGATCCTGAGAGGCTTTCTGTGTCCAGCTGTCATTACATTCATGTGTTTTACTCCCAGCTTTCATGTTTCACCGGGACTTGGAGCGCTGTGGGGGGGCTGAGGTCGTGCCACCAAGTCGAAAAGCAGGGTGGCATTTTCATGCATATTAGGAAGGACGTTTTAAGGAAGTTATAACCTCACGTAGAAGTAGTATTAACATAGTTTACTCTGGTGCAAGCAGAAGTAATATATCACTTTTCCTAAGTCAAATAATATAGTTGTTGCATAAATATAACTTAAAAGTACTTAATATGCATCTGAGGCTTTAGGATCCTTCACTCAAGTACACTTAAGTATGATTTAAGGTTCTTGTATTTCCTTTTTCTGTTTCATTTTAATATACACAATGATCCTAACCTCACGTAGAAGTTCTAATAACACAGTTTACTCTGGTACAAGCAGAAGTCCTGCATGTAATATATCACTTTTCCTAAGTCAAATAAATAGAGTTTTTGCATGAATATAACTTACATAGTACCGTACTTCAGTAAAATTTGAGCTACTTGTATTTCCCTTTTCCTGTTACTTGAGTATTAGCATTAAAATATACCTAAAGTACAAAAGTAGAAGTACTCATTATGCAGATTGGCCCGTTTCAGAATAATATAAGCTATAATATGAGATGATAATTCATTGATGCATTCAAGTGTTCAAGAGCCTTTTTTATCTTTCTATCTGCTAAGTAACCGGGGAATTCGACCAAGACGTCAATAAAGTGTTATCTTTTTACCCTACAACAATACACAAAGATACATTTAGTCATATTTACCTCAATCTACACTATTTGCCTTTTAATTTAAGATGTATAAAGTAGCATACAAAGGAAATACAAGTACTTAAAATTGTGCTTAAGTGCAGTACTTGAGTAACGTACTAACGGATCCCAAAAACTCTAAATGAGACGAGTTGACTTGTACATGTCACCAAGAGATCAATAACACTAGTCGATATAAATAATAATGAAATGAAACAAGAGAATTATGATACTGCACAAACTCAAGCAGTATCAAATTGATAAACACAAATATTATTGACTTACAAATGATATATAAAGAAATGATGTTCCTAACTTCCATCTGAAGAGACTGGAAAGCAGAGCCCCATCTGGACCTGATAGCCTTTTCCCAAGTGGGGCATACAGACTTCTGCTACGAATATTGAGCTCTGATGATAGACATAGCCCATGGCGAGGGGAGGGGGGGGGAGCGGGGGGGGGGGGGGGGAGCAGAGCAAATGGACTTCCAATTGTGGAGCCAGAAGGCAAAGAGGAGGAGGGGAGGGTGTCTGAGGGAGGGGGAGGGAGAGAAAGCATGCAAACCCCCTTTTCTCTCTCCCCCTTTTCTCTCTCCCTCTTCTGCTATAATAAAAGTAATAATAATGCGTTTATGTAGTATAGCACAGGGGGGTCCCAACCTTTTTCCCTAGAGGTTTATTACCTTATCAGTTCAGTTATAAGTCAACAAAATCAATCAAATGTAGGTAAATTATTCTTGATACTTGAAAATGCTTTAAAGGTAGGGTAGGTCATGTTGGAGAAACCAGCTCGAGATCGCTAGAATTTGAAAATACACAACCGGAAAAAATCTGCCACTTCCTTACAGAGCCCCTCTTCCAAAACACACGAACGCGCACATGACCAATGAGGGCACGAGATAAGTTTGTGCACAGATGGAAGGCTGACAGGCAGGTAGGCCATCCAGTTATTTTAGCCGGGCCGGCTCAAATTATTGGTCGTGCTTTTTACAGTACTACAGCTTCCACAGATGAGATGTTTTTATGGATTTCTTGTCAAAGCACTTAAGATATTCATTGCTATCGGGATGTTAAGAGCATTCCATGGAATATAACAAAAAGTGCATCTCAAACTTACCTACCCTACCTTTAAGAAACAAACTCAACGCAAGAATCCTGCAGGAACATTTCCTATCTATAACCCCAACCTGATGAAGTGCTACTCCAATAGCTTCACTTAAATCTGCTCTCTGTGTAAAACTGCAGAAACACTGAGTGAAATGCTGAGGTTCCTCTAGTTTCTAGACGCCAGTGATATTGGGGACTTTGTTGGTGTTTGTTTCTCTCAAAGCAAGAATCCTGCTATAAGCCCTTTAAGTGCTACAGCAATAGCTTCACTTCAAACTGCAGAAACACTGAGTGGACTACGGAGGTTCCTCTAGTGTGTGCCTCTCTTCTGCCTCTGCACAAACACTGAGTGGACGTCGGTGATATCGGGGACTTTTTTGGCCGCTAAAAGTCTTCTGTTTTTCATGCTCTCCTCCACCCTTCATGCCCCCTCCGCTTCCCCCTGCGCTCTGAGAGCTGCTTCACGTTTGTCACGCTGTGGGAGGGCCCTCCTGATGACCGGAGGATGAAAGGAGCTCCCTCTGTTTCTCCCCGGGAACAAAGGTGTAATTACGCCTCCGTTTAGAAACACCACATTTATCTCCGGCTACGGGAGAGATCTGTCTCTGAGTGGACAGAAGGGAAGAGAGGAGGCCGAGTTGTTGACTTTTGGAAGAACGATTGTGACATTTTGATGCATGTTGGGACTCTTTAAAAACCTCTATTACAACCACAACATTTGCACAAAGCTGTTACTTGTTATAGTTTTATATATGTGGGTATTTATAATGTCCTCACAGAATGATGCACACAGCTGCAGAAATACTCCAGAGTGTTGGCCTTCACTTGAGTGGATGCATTATTTATACTTTGCATGTAGAGAGCTTAATCTAACGCATCGAATCAAGCGCTCCCTGCTGATCAATCTCTGAGCACTTTGTGATTAAACGCTTTTTATCAATGTATTAACGGCTGCAGAAAGGACAAGTTCAACTCAAAAAGAAACCTGCTTGCATTTTATTTTAAGGGATAATTAAGTTTTTATCATATAATGTTTGTCCAGTCCGAGATTTAATATTTAAAACGCTTTTTTTTACACATGTTAGGGCTTGTAAACAACATAAATACAAACAACCATGTAAGAAATATGCATTAAAATTGCATTAAAACCCCAAAATAGTAAAAAATAAATAAGAGTGGATATGCATATCTGCATTAAAAATGAATGACTTAAATAAATTGAAATAATTGTTACTATTTCTGACAATAAGATTTTTGAATGCAATTTTTTACGATAAGGTTTTATTTTGTAAAATTAAATGGTTTTAATGCAATATAAATACATCAGATATTTAAAATGATTTAAGCTAAATACATGTATTTCATTTAAATTCACCTTTAAACCCCCAACAGTCTCTTTAATAATAATAACATTACATTTAATTTTTATAGTGCTTTTCCTCGTGCTCAAAGACGCTTTACGTGACATCAGAAACAGAAACTGAAGTCCTATCATCTCCTTTAAGACGAGATAAACCTTTATGTATTCCTCCTTCCCCCCATTATAACTCATGTCATGTATATTATTAAGCCATTAGATGCTATCAGTCCCTTTTGAATGATTTCATTACCCAGAAGCACCTCGGGGAAGTGAAGAGAGGAGCATACATATGCATGGGGATCCGCTCAGTGACTGCGACCCTCCACACACACACACACACACACACACACACACACACACACACACACACACACACACACACACACACACGCACACACACACGCACAAAAGTCTCTTGTCTTCCTCCCATTGAGCTGTCAATCATCAGCTCTGATCCAATCAGTGATAAGCAGAAGAGATAAGGATCATCTCCCTCAGGCTGTTCATCACCTCTGAGAGAGAGAGACGATAACAATGCGCCATTTCAGTTTTGTTGGATAAAATACGGTCAATGCAAATTTAGGGATGCAAAAATGTAATATTTGCATTATCAGTTTATCTGCTTTGGTCTTTAAAATGTTAGAAAATAGTGAAAAAGTTACTTAAAATCCAAGGTTTGTCTGTGATGTTTGCTTTTTTGACCAAAACCAGAATATATGTGCCTTAAAATAATACATATTTGAGAGGCTTTTTGTGACATATTTGCATGAAAAATTGCTTTTATGATTATAAATCGATTGTCAAATTGATTATGTTCTTATCAATTTATGTTTTGTCTTTGAAAAACCCAAACATATTGATTACTATATGACTATTAAAGGATATCTTCTTATTTGAGAGGCTAAAAATGTCATTTAAACCCATTTCTTGCATGAAAAAAAATTATTTAAATAGTAACAAATATTAGGAGGTTATTTTTCTGTACATGCAATGTAATTGTTGGGTCTTTAATAACATCTGAAAATTGTGAAAAAAGGTCAATAACCACATTTTTCCAAACCTATTTCTTGTTCTGTTTGCCTAAAACTCACAAATATTCACTTTTATATGATTTAAAATAAAGAAAAGCAGGATATTTCAATATTTGTGAGGCAAAAAACTAAAATGTTCAGCTACTTTTTGCTTGAAAAATGTCTTTATCGAACTGTAAATTACCCCAAAAAGTGTCATAAAGTCTTCTGTTGATGCACTTATCTTTGCAGCTGCACATAAATAACTCAAAGGTGTTATTCTTCTCTTAAGGTGGGACCTTCACAACTACGCCCGGCTTGTACCCCGGAAACAACTCTCTGACGAACTCGAGCGGCTTCAACAGCACACAACAGGTAGCTATCCTCTGTCCTCTGATCTGGAATCAGTTTATCCTTGCAGAGCTGGAAGCCTTTCATGAAACATGCATACTCAATATGTTACATTTCATCCATGACACATTCAAACATAAATCAGTGGGGATGTCAGGATTATCCTCGCGATGCCACGGAGGAACAGATGGACGGCATGTGTTAGCGGTTATGTTTTGGAAGCTGTTCTGTAAAGTAGCAGCTCTGTTTGAGGGCAAATCTCACGTTACTCTGCACAAAAGAAACCTCAAACCCGTTTCTATCTGAGTCTCTCACCATGCTTTCCTTGATCATATTCTTTATTATTCTTTATTAGGATCCCGATTAGCACTAGCATGAGCATTGGCTATTCTTCCTGGGGTCCTCACACACACAAAACAGCTCATAATTTCATTCAAGTGAAAACTCAAATGGTCATCGAATTGTATGCTATACTTTATAATACTGAGATAATTTCTTAGCAACTTTTTGGACTGTACTTGAGATTTTTCAGTCTTGCACTAATGTACATTTTCAAAGATATTGAAGTGACTGTCATTTTGTATATCTTGATTCATGTCTGAATGTGTGCATATGTTCAAATGATCAAAGACTCAAAGGTTTTATTGTCATATGCTCAGCAGCTACAGAGTAGAAATGGCAATGAGATTCTTCTGACCTGAGCTGCTCCAACAATGCAACATATATCATAAAATACAAAATAAGAAGTCTATATACATGTCAGTAGAATATGGGATATGTACAAGAACAGAATAGGAAATTAAATAATGCACATTAAGACAAAATTAAATACGGTTTATTGCGTTTTATTATTATATATTTGTTGCAAGATGACAACAGGAATGTTTATCGGGGCACTTTACAGAGCCTGTGTCTGTAGATTGTGTACATATATACATATATATATATATATATATATATATATATATACATATATATATATATATATATATGTATTTTGTACTCCTCGGGATTGTGGGAAACGGTATTTCGATCTCTCTGTCTGTTCACACTGGGTGTTTCTCAATGTCGAGTGCGCTTGCTTGGTAGCACATGTCTTCCGAGTCACTTGCTTCAGAAGCGAGTCAAGAATACTTCCTGGCATTCGGAAAACAAAGAGTGGAACAGGCGAGCAAGTGTGCAGGTGTGCGTCATATGAGAGGCCCCGCCTCTTACAACTTCCGCCACAGATTTGGGGAAATTGGTCCGTGCGCAAAGCATTGTGGGGATTTTAAGACCGCGGAGTCTACACATGTGCAGCCTAGACATTTCTCCAAACGAAGTACGCCGGGCTCGGTAGATTTCCAAGTATGCTGGACATTGGAACAGTACTTCGGCGGCACTCGATGACGTAGTATGCTTGAAATAGTGGCTCTGGAGCAGCTTTACTCGACATTGAGAAACACCCCCTGTGGAGGAAATTCTTATTAAGAGAAACTGATAAATAATTCATGGACAAAGTTTGTCTTTTGTTATATTTAATAAAGTAATAAAGAAAGTCAATATACAAGTGAAATGGATCTGAATGCAGGATCAGAGCAGCTTCATCCTCAGAGGATAATATGGCCTGAACACAGCTAACAGTCACACTATATAATAAAGAGAATATCCAACTGGTCCCACCCTTACATTCTCTCTCTATTATCTAAACACCCCCATCTTTAAACCATTAAACCCCCCAGTTCTTTAAGCATTTGCAAATCCACCTTTTACACTTCCTGAAATGTAAATCCTCAACATATGTCTCTGTTAAACACATATAGGATTAAAAATACTATTTAAAAGAGTAAAAGGCATTCAGAGTATAAGACATAATATATATGTGTTATTTAAATGATTATATGAACATTTGACACGACAATCAACATGCGTGCGGTTAAAGGATGATAATCATTTCTACTTACTTATTTATCTAAATAGCTATCACCAAGTTCTAAGACATGTTTTGCAAGAGGATGAAATACTTATTTCCCACAGTTAAATGCAAATCAATTTGTATCTTTTAAATAATGTTAATTTCTGGATTTTAAATAAGGTTGACTTTGACTTTGATCTCTCCTCAGGACTCAGAGTATAAGACATAATATATATGTATTATTTAAATGATTATATGAACATTTGACACGACAACACACAGACTAAGGGACAGCTTCATCCCATAGGCCATAAGACTGTTAAACACCTGCACTTTTGAAAGAACATCCGCAACTTAGATATATCAATATTCCAATTACTTGAAAATAGACTATTCTGCACTATATCTATTATATTCTATTTTATTTTATTTACTTGCACTATTATCTGTTTTATTGTGTTGCACTGTTGGAGGATCCTATGATTTTTCATTGTCATAACTACACTGTAGCTACGTACAAATGACAATAACAGCCTTGAATCTTCTGAAAAACAAACTGAAAGACGGACAATAATGTTGCCTCTGCTCTCTCCTCAGGACTACGCCAGTTACCCAGCCTTCGGTCAGGGTCAGTACGCTCAGTATTACAACAGTTCTCCGTACACTTCGCCCTATATGACGAGTAACAACACGAGCCCCACCACCCCCACCACCACCACCTACACCCTGCAGGAGCCCCCCAGCACCGTCTCCAGCCAGCCCATCCCAGAGAACCCTGCAGGTGAGGATATAACGCAGCATGTGGTTCTGGTGTCTATAATCATGCTGTGGAAATACTGAGGAACTTACCAAGAGTTCTGAGTAAGACAAACTGCGTGCCGAGAGCAAAAGGCCTCTCCTGTTCCTCCACAGACCTGAGAAGGAGACAGAGATATCACAAATGCATCAGAGTAAAAGCATGTAAGGGGAACTGTTAGAAAAATACCACTCGTCACCGGCTTGAGCTTCAATATCAGGATCCATGTAAGATGCAGGAATACCAGTTCTTCTAGGTAATCATACATCCTGTTATGTACAAAATACTGACTTTTTCTCAAAATCTAAAAAAAATCAGACTTTTTCTCAAAATTCAGACTTTTTCTCAAAATTCAGACTTTTTTCTCAAAATGTTGGCTTTTCAGAAAATCTCAACATTCTGACTGCTTCTCAAAATCTCACATTTCTGACGTTTCCTCAAAATATTGACTTTTTCTGAAATTCACCAAAATTCAGACTTTTTCTCAAAATCTAAAAAAAATCTGACTTTTTCTCAAAATTCAGACTTTTTCTCAAAATTCAGACTTTTTTCTCAAAATGTTGGCTTTTCAGAAAATCTCAACATTCTGACTGCTTCTCAAAATCTCACATTTCTGACGTTTCCTCAACATGTTGACTTTTTCTCAAATTCACCAAAATTCTGAATTTTTCTCAAAATCTCAAAAATTCGGGCTTTTTCTCAAATTCTCAAAATTCAGACAAAAACAAAATTGCACGATATATAAGTATGAAATGCTTTTAACCAGTGGTGTTAATTCACGGTAGGGCTGCACAATATGTATTTGTATTAATGTCATGATAAGGAGATTGGAAAGAACCATCATACAAGACAATAAAATGTGTACGTCCTTGAGTAAAAGCACATTTGCATGTATTCGTAAAATAAAGCAATAATGAAATGCTCAATTTAGCGAAAGTGACATCCAAGTTTCAGTGTGTGTACAGCAGCTTTGCAAACAAGGAAACACAACTATAGAAAACGATATCAGATGTGCAGTTTCCCATAATGCCATGTGACATAAATGCATCATCTGGTGATCGAGCAGCACTTATTATGTCTTTATAAGTCTGTCAAACTGTCATCAATCAACACCGAAGACATCCGGTTAATTTCCTTCGATTGACATGACTGACATCTTTCCTATTCCTACCTGACGTGCAGTCCATAACTTCCTGTTGATCAAATCATCGTGGAGCTTTTAGTATGTGATTAATGATACCTGGAGGCCTGCATAATGTCTACAAAATGTCCCAGGATGCCGTCTGTCTGTCCTGCATCAAGACAAATGGTCCCTCTTTCTGCACTTCTTGGCTAAAAGCAGAACAACATGTCATCTGTTCTTATTCCCTCTTCCTCCCTCAGTGGAGTACAGCACCATCCACAGTCCATCAACCCCCATTAAAGATTCAGATTCGGATCGATTGCGCCGGGCCTCGGATGGAAAGTCACGTGGTCGGGGGAGAAGGAACAACAACCCCTCCCCCCCGCCTGACTCCGACCTTGAGGTACACACACACACACACACACACACACACACACACACACACACACACACACACACACACACACCCACACCCACATTTCTCAATGTGGGAAAGTAAGAGAGATACTGGTAAAACAATTGGTCTTACAGCTTTATGGTGATTCACACACACACACACACACACACACACACACACACACACACACACACACACACACACACACACACACACACACACACACACACACACACACACACACACACACACACCCACACCCACATTTCTCAATGTGGGAAAGTAAGAGAGATACTGGTAAAAATTGGTCTTACAGCTTTATGGGGATACACACACACACATATACCCCCACACACATGCACACGCACACACACACGCACACATACACATACACACACACACACATACACATACACACACACACACACACACACACACACACACACACACACACACACACACACACACACACACACACTAATCCACTTACTGCACACCAGCATGGGCATTAATTCTTGGCAGTGACTGTATTATTGATGCACGGTGGAAGATACGACTTCCCCAAACACGTATATAGAGTTCCCGTGAATAAACAATAAGGGAGTCATAAAGAAGAAGTGAATTATGTATATTTTTCTTACAAATCAAATACAAAATTACAACGGCATTGAATGCATCGTGAAGAGCGGTGGAAAGTACTTTTAATGACTGTTTTTAAGTACAATTTTGAGGGATTTTTACTTCATTTTTTGCTCATGTAAACGTCAACTGGGCTTCATCCATAGGGAAATAATGTGCTTTTTTTCTACCCTACATTTATTAGCTAATTGTAGTTCCTGTAAACATTATAATAATAACAATAAGATATTTATGTCATGCATTATAGGTTAAGATCCTTCGGTGAAAGTCACATGCTACCCAACAGTATTTAAGGTTCAGCTGCAACATACAAGTGAAGAAAACATGAATGCATCAATACTTATAGTTTAATAATATGATATATATTATTCCTAAACAGACGTGTTTTACTCAGGATTTGAACTGTGATATTACTCCTTATAATTAAAATATTCAGAGTACTTTGCCTGCCCGATCAGAGCTGCATTGTGTGTCAGAATAATCTTCCGAGGGCTTTTCATTACCACGATATGAATGAAAACAGAGCGTGCATTACGGCTCTCACATCGTGGCGTGTTAACATATCTCGTTAATTAGTTTGTCACTATCGATCTCTCTAATGTAAAGGGCAGAGAGGAAGAAGAGGAGGAGGAGGAGGAGGGGGGGGGAATGTTGCGGTGACCAACCCGAGAAAATAGATCCGGGTCCCTGTGGCACAAACCCTCCTCCATATTGACCAGAGGATCACCTTTCAGAGTGCACCATTGATTCCATTTCTGTTCCTCTGCAGAGGGTTTTCATCTGGGACCTGGACGAAACCATCATCGTTTTCCATTCCTTGCTGACGGGGTCCTACGCCAACAGATATGGACGGGTGAGTGACGTCAGGATATCATAACAACACATGGATATTCAATAATAAATAAATGAGAAAGGTTTTATTTGTATAGCACTTTTCGTACAGACGTTAAAACCAGAGGTTCTATTTTGAATGCAGGACTTTTCTACACTCTGGTACTTCTACTTTTACTCAAGTGCAAGATCTGAGTACTTCTACTTTTACTACAAGATCTGAATACTTCTACTTTTACTACAAGATCTGAGTACTTCTACTTTTACTCAAGTACAAGACCTGAGTACTTCGACTTTTACTACAAGATCTGAGTACTTCTACTTTTACTCAAGTGCAAGATCTGAGTACTTCTACTTTTACTACAAGATCTGAGTACTTCTACTTTTACTACAAGATCTGAGTACTTCTACTTTTACTACAAGATCTGAGTACTTCTACTTTTACTCAAGTGCAAGATCTGAGTACTTCTACTTTTACTACAAGATCTGAATACTTCTACTTTTACTACAAGATCTGAGTACTTCTACTTTTACTCAAGTACAAGACCTGAGTACTTCGACTTTTACTACAAGATCTGAGTACTTCTACTTTTACTCAAGTGCAAGATCTGAGTACTTCTACTTTTACTACAAGATCTGAGTACTTCTACTTTTACTACAAGATCTGAGTACTTCTACTTTTACTACAAGATCTGAGTACTTCTACTTTTACTCAAGTACAAGACCTGAGTACTTCGACTTTTACTACAAGATCTGAGTACTTCTACTTTTACTCAAGTGCAAGATCTGAGTACTTCTACTTTTACTACAAGATCTGAGTACTTCTACTTTTACTACAAGATCTGAGTACTTCTACTTTTACTCAAGTACAAGATCTGAGTACTTCTACTTTTACTCAAGTGCAAGACCTGAGTACTTCGACTTTTACTACAAGATCTGAGTACTTCTACTTTTACTCAAGTACAAGATCTGAGTACTTCGACTTTTACTCAAGTGCAAGATCTGAGTATTTCTACTTTTACTACAAGATCTGAGTACTTCTACTTTTACTACAAGATCTGAGTACTTCTACTTTTACTCAAGTACAAGATCTGAGTACTTCTACTTTTACTCAAGTACAAGATCTGAGTACTTATTGGTGGCTATATACTCTTCTGAAGTAGCTTAAAGCAGACAGTACTGAGCTGTGATTTATGACACCATTAAACCCACTCTAAACAAAGCACCTCTCTGGTTATGGTACATGTTGTTTAGGCAATAGCAAAAGGTCAGTCATGCCCCAACAAACAGCATTTAATGGCAAAAAAAGCGTATTTTTATGTATTTTCTAACAATAAAAGCAGGAAAATATAATATTCTCAAGTAATAAAGCACTTTTATAAGAGCCGTACTTTTACTTTAGTATACTGTGGTGTTAGTTATTGTACTTATCCCTCTGTCTCAGATAGATTTCTCCGCCGTGAGCAAGACTCGATGTCCACATAATTGTTTCTTTTTTTTAATGGTGCAACGAGGCCCGAGGTATTCGCTCTCTCTCTCTCTCTCTCTCTCTCTCTCTCTCTCTCTCTCTCTCTCTCTCTCTCTCTCTCTGCAGCTGTTGCAGATATGCATGGCTGCTGGGGGGGGGGGGGGGTCAGCTCAGAACAGTTGCACTCTGGATGTCTATTGACACGTCTTAAGTGTTCCTTTCTCCTCCAGAAACGCCACATTGTTAGTTTAATTAAGTGCTTCTCAATCCGGCCTTTTTCAGGCGGACATCTCCCCGGAGACCGTCTGACTGGAGATCCCCTTTTTAAAAAACCTGCCCTTTAATTAGGATGCAAATACAAAGATATCATGTAAACACATCTTAGCAAACATATATTATTATACAGGGAGGATTGTTCTGTTTTAAGACGTTTGCTTTTCCAGGCTTGGATATTTGTTGTTTCTTGTGAATTGCTTTTTCTAAATTTAAACTTTGAAAACAAACAATTTGGGAAATAAAGCAGAATCTTATTCTCATGGTTTGCTGGAGGTCAAAGGTTATATATAGTCTCTTATCTTCCCATTCTGTTCCTGTTTCTACTTTACATTTTCAGGGCTGTACTTAAGTATAACTTCGGGGTACTTGTACTTTACTCAAGTATTTTGATTTACTTCTACTTTGCTTCATTTGATATATATTTGTACTACTAATGTACTCACTACTATCTTGTATTTGCTCCATATTGGTGGCTAGATACTCTTCTGAAGTAGCTTCCAGTACTGAGCTGTGATTTATGACACCATTAAAACCACTCACAAAGCACAACAAAAGCATCTCTGGTTATTTTACATGATGTTTAGGCAATAGCAAAAACTCACTCATGCCCAAAAAACAGACTTTAAAGCAAAGAATGAAAACATAAAAAGCGTATTTTATGTATTTTCTAATGATAAAAGCAGAATAATATAGTATCCTCAAGTATTAAAACACTTTCATAAGAGCCACAATGACTACTTTTAGCTCCAAATACTTCTGTACTTTTACCTTAGTAACCCTTTGACCTGACACTTTATACTATGGTATTAGTAATTATAAGTAGAGTCTCTGTCCTTTTGATAAAACACTTTCTTTCAGCCTGTTCTTCTGCAAAGCACTTTGGTCTTCTTAAGCTGTGTTTAACCCTCTTTATAAACAAACTTTAGATATAATGCATGCACATAAAAGCAGAATGTAAAACCTGTTTGGTCGCACACGGCTGAGTTTTGATCGTTATTTATACGTGTGTGTTTTGTGGCGGTCTGATCTCCGGGTGTTTTGGCTGCAGAGGTGTCTGGGTTTGAAGTCATGGATGACATATTGCTGCTCGTATGTCGGAGAGCTTAGCGTCCGCTCTCTCTCTTTGTTCTGCAGCGAGGGGGTGTTTGATGGGGGCACTGTTTTGTTTTTGGGGTGAAAGAGGGCTGCCCCACGACCCTCCAATGTTTATTTACTTTACTCTCAGCAGCCTCGGCATGCTGGGTAAAGAAAGAGCCGAGGCTTAGGGAGCTCAGGGACTCTCCTACCACACACACACACACACACACACACACACACACACAGGGTCTCCAGTGTGCTCCTCTGAAACAGGAAGCACTCCTGACTCGTCCCATCAGAGCTCATATGGGATGTGACAGCCGCTGGAGTCACTTTCTCTTTCTCCTCCTCTGCACATTTCACTTGTGTTTTTTTTTAGTTCCTCTCATGCTAAAACCTGCTGACTCTTATCGCATTAAAGCAGTTTTATAAACGGAGACCACAGAGCACGATACCTCAAAGCCTATCAGGAACACAACACATCTGTAAACTGCCTGGGAAAAGAAAAGTGGAGCAGACCAACGTCCACCACAACAAGCATCTCCCCCTCCTCCTGTAGGTCAGTTTTGATAGGATTAGCACAAGGAGAATATACTTAAAAGACAGGGAATTAATCAATTAATCAATTAACAATCAATGCTGTAACAACACAATCAGACACAGAGGAAGTCAGGAGAGAATAAAAAACATTTCAAAGTAGGGCTGTGCGATTATGGCAAAAATCATAATCACGATTATTTTGGTCAATAATTGATATCAAATACGATTATTCATTGACTTTGAAAACATCCATTTATTGAACTTTTAAACAAATACAAATAATAATTTGAACAGTGTCTTTTTAACTGTTGGTTACCCTGAACGTATAATTCAACTGAAAAACCAATACAAAAATAAATAAATGATACATTTATATCTACATTTAAATAAATAATATCAAAATAATAAATACCAATAAACAAGATAAACAAATATTTTGGAGCGCACTTCAACAAGCTACTAAACATATATAAATATGATAAATACAAATACATTAGATCAAATATGTTGCACTGTCACAACCTAGCAAAGCAAAATAATCGTTTTTTTTCGATTATGTTGTTTTCGTAATTGTGGCAGGCCAAAATCGTAATTGCGATTAAAATACGATTAATTGCACAGCCCTAATTCAAAGTAATCCAGACGAGAGAAACACGTTTTTTACCTTTCTAAACATTTTTAATATACATTTCTGTGACTTAAAGTAGTTTGCATGAGTTTTGCATGAACACAGTAAAAGAGTAAGTACACGTGTGAATATGCTTTTTACCCCCAGAAACCACACAGTCAGCAGTATTTGTTGATAGTAAAGCATCCAAATACTATATACATTGTAAGTAAATTACATTTAAAATGACAATAAATGATGGATATCAGTCCAAAATTAGATAGTTTAGGATCATTTCAAAGATACATGGCCATTAGTTTCAGCCTCTGAAAGAGAAAAGATGCAAGAATCCTCTTTAAATGTGAATATTGTGTCTAAAAATGCAATAATAGTGCCGATTTAAAGAAGTGTTTCTTTCACTTTAGGAGCAATAAGACATGACAAGGAGTGTCTTTATTAAAGCACCCTTTGTTCCTCTGTTTAAAGAGCAGACTTTTCCTTTTCGTTCAGGTATCATATTTGTTGTCCTGTCATCTGAGTGTCACAAACAAACAGATTTCCCTCCTGGCTTCTCTGCGCTTCCTATAAATAGTTGTGTATCTGAGAGAGCACACATCCACACTTTCTCCCCTACCACTCTCTCCCGCTCACACACACACACACACACACACACACACACACACACACACACACACACACACACACACACACACACACACACCCTAATCCACTTACTGCACACCAGCATGGGCATTAATTCTTGGCAGTGACTGTATTATTGATGCACGGTGGAAGATATGACTTCACCAAACACGTATATAGAGTTCCCGTGAATAAACAATAAGGGAGTCATAAAGAAGAAGTGAATAATGTATATTTTTCTTACAAATCAAATACTGCAAATTACAACGGCATTGAATGCATCGTGACGAGTGGTGGAAAGTACTTTTAAGTACTGTTGGGGTTGGGTTAAAGCAGAGAACACATGTCACTGTGGGCATGTGTGTGTGACCATTAAAGAGGGTTTCATCCCTTCGAATCTATCTATCTACTGATTCTATACACACACACACACACACACACACACACATACACATACACACACACACACACACACACACACACACACACACACACACACACACACACACACACACAGTGACAGTTTCAGTCCACAGGCCATAAGACTGTTAGACACCTGAACTTTTGAAAGACCATCCATAACATTAATTTGTTTGTAACTTAAAAATTATTTATCTAATATATCATATTCCAATTACTTGTATAGAGACTCTCCTTGCACTATTTATATTCTATTTTATTTGTATTTACTTGCACTATTTTATCTGTTTTATTGTGTTGCACTGTTGGATGAGCCTAAGATTTTCATTGACAAATCTACATTATAGCTATGTACAAATGACAATAATAGCCTTGAATCTTGAACACACACACACACACACACACACACACACACACACACACACACACACACACACACACACACACACACACACACACACACACACACACACACACACACACACACACTCTTATCAGCTCTTTTAATTGGCATCAAGGCAGCTCAGCCCCATAAAGCTGATGTCTGAGGCCAGCTGTGCTGCTATTGGGCGGCTCAGAGCCAGAGCTTAGCTTAAAGAGGGTGGGGATGGACGGGGGCTTGTTATTGGTAAGGGTCTCAGAGGAAGGGTTTTTCGGGGGTTGGGGGGGGGGGGGGGGGGGGACTTGGCGCCCCCCATGGATGGCACTGACATCCAGGGACAGGTGGAAACTAAAGTGACAGCAGCAGCACTTTGGCCTTCTGGCCTGCTTGTATTCTTAACTCTCTCACTGACTGATTGTTTAGATTTAATTGGAAAAAGGATTCACTCACGACTTTTTTCCCACCGAAGCCGGCCCTCAGAGAGCGGCTGGGATCACGTTTTTTAACTACGCTGACACTGAAGGGCTTACTCTACTTAAAACCAATGGGATTTTTACATTGGATTAAGGCAGAAAATAGGATATATTTCAAATTATACTGACACGTTTTGTTCAGTAGGATAATCTCCACATATTAAAACCACTTTATGATTTCTGAGGTAAAAAGCTAGGCTATAAAGGAACTACAGCACGGTCACATGACTTCACGTCACCACCGCTAAGCTAAAGGAGGCTAATGTTGGGCTATAAAGGAACTACAGCACGGTCACATGACTTCACGTCACCACCGCTAAGCTAAAGGAGGCTAATGTTGGGCTATAAAGGAACTACAGCACGGTCACATGACTTCACGTCACCACCGCTAAGCTAAAGGCGGCTAATGTTGGGCTATAAAGGAACTACAGCACGGTCACATGACTTCACGTCACCACCGCTAAGCTAAAGGTGGCTAATGTTGGGCTATAAAGGAACTACAGCACGGTCACATGACTTCACGTCACCACCGCTAAGCTAAAGGCGGCTAATGTTGGGCTATAAAGGAACTACAGCACGGTCACATGACTTCACGTCACCACCGCTAAGCTAAAGGAGGCTAATGTTGAGCTATAAAGGAACTACAGCACGGTCACATGACTTCACGTCACCACAGCTAAGCTAAAGGGGGCTAATGTTGGGCTATAAAGGAACTACAGCACGGTCACATGACTTCACGTCACCACCGCTAAGCTAAAGGAGGCTAATGTTGGGCTATAAAGGAACTACAGCACGGTCACATGACTTCACGTCACCACCGCTAAGCTAAAGGAGGCTAATGTTGAGCTATTAAGGAACTACAGCACGGTCACATGACTTCACTTTACCACCGCTAAAGGAGGCTAATGTTGGGCTATAAAGGAACTACAGCACGGTCACATGACTTCACGTCACCACCGCTAAGCTAAAAGCGGCTAATGTTGAGCGTGATGACGTTAATTTGTCTCATTTAAACAATTAATAATCCACCAGTGGGGGTATTTACTGACGTATTTTAGGCTAACAACCAGGAATACATTCAGAAACCATTGACAGTGATTAAAATGCTGACTCTTTTCCAGGTTTTAGGACTTGCTTCTGCACTATTTTTGATCAAATGTGATTGAGCGACAGTAACATGGAGGTTAAGAGGAGGGAGAAAGCCAGCAGAAGTGCAGATTGAGCTCTTCTTGTGTGGTTTGCTTTGAGCATTGTGTTGTGTGACAGGTAATCAGCAGAAAGCTCAGGTGTGTCTTCAGGTGCTTTAAGGCTGTAATCCCTGCTGCTACCTCACACAGCTGCAGAAAATCCTCCTGCTATTGTCCCGCTTCATCCTGAAGACAATCTGTAGATTAAAATCCAATTTGTACAACAACAAAAAGAGGGTCAGCACTTCTCTGCCGTTAGTTGATTACTCGTAGTGAGTTGTGTTAGTTTTTTTTGGACAATAAAAGCAAGAAAAAGTGGATTTTCGTCTTCTTAGATAATTGGTTTTCTACATGATTACACAAGGTCTATATCTTGATGTGACAATGCACTTTTTGCCATTTCATTATCTGTTTAAACTGCACACATTGTCCCAGGCTCATTAATTATTGACTCCCCCCTCTCTTGGTTTTATCTTACAGACAGTGCACTCCTATCATGATTACAGCACGGCTCACATTACGAACAACAGAGATCAGGATTTAAAGAAATATTACTTTGCATTTCAAGTATTTTAAATATTAATAAACACCCTTCAGAGTGGCTGCTTCTTCAGGGAGTAAATCAGATGATGCGCCATCAACACAAGTATGTGGAGAATTGGCTATTTACGATGAGGCTGTGACCCCCAACTCTTCCTCGGACCCCCCGTCCTGAGAGGAGACATGCTTTTACTGCATTCGTTCTGTCTGTGGCATTTCTGATGGTTATTCTGGTCGCTTTCGCACAGTCGTAAACACCGGCTGAGACTTTCATGTCCAGTTTTTATGGGAACAGCCCGCTGAGGAATTTAAAGGGATTCTGTGTTAATTGAGTGACTTACAGGGAACAGCGTTATTTACTGTTTCACATTAACCCCTGCAAATGGAAAAAGAGAACCTCCGTTTTTAATTGTTTTTGTCTCTTTCTCTTTTTTTAGGATCCGCCCACATCTGTGTCATTAGGTCTGAGGATGGAGGAGATGATTTTCAACCTGGCCGACACACACCTTTTCTTCAACGACCTGGAGGTGCGTTTGATTTTACTCTCCTTTTTAAAACTCCTGCTGTGTCCCTGACGCCTTCTGTTGAGTTTTAGTAAAAGCAGCAACAACTGCTCCTCAGTCACAGCTCTCTCTCAGAGGTGAAGTATTACCTCGGAGCCGGAGGGACTCCATGATTTTTCCTCCGTCATCCAGGGGTCACCAGCTTTAACCCCCCCTCAATTTGTCCGGCTCTAGTGTTTCCGTGTCTGTTCGTCTGTCTGTGTGTCACGCTGTGTGCCGGGTGTCGCTGTCCACCTCCAACACACACACTTTCGTCACAGCATGTGCCACTTTATGGTTTTGGAAGTTAAAAGCTTACGTTAGGCTATAAAGGAATTACAGCACGGTCACATGACTTCACGTCACCACCGCTAAGCTAAAGGTGGCTAATGTTGGGCTATAAAGGAACTACAGCACGGTCACATGACTTCACGTCACCACCGCTAAGCTAAAGGCGGCTAATGATGGGCTATAAAGGAACTACAGTGCGGTCACATGACTTCACGTTGCGACCGCTAAGCTAAAGGTGGCTAATGATGGGCTATAAAGGAACTACAGCACGGTCACATGACTTCGCGTTGCGACCGCTAAGCTAAAGGTGGCTAATGTTGAGCTATAAAGGAACTACAGCACGGTCACATGACTTCACGTCACCACCGCTAAGCTAAAGGTGGCTAATAATTGGCGTGATGACGTTTAGCCGTCTCATTTAGACACTTGTTAGCCGTTTTTAAATCCACCAGTGGGGTAATTACTTACGTATTTCAGGCTAACAACCAATCGCACATTCACAAACCATTGACCTCCAGACCAGTGGACAGAAAATGCTGACTCTTTTCCAGGTTTTAGGACAAATTTCTGCACTATTTTCATAAAATCTAACCCCCTTCCCCCCCTCAATTTGTCCGGCTATAGTGTTTTGGGGTCTGTCCGTCTGTCTGTGTGTCACGCTGTGTGCCGGGTGTCGCTGTCCACCTCCAACACACACCCTTTCGTCACAGCATGAACACCCCCCCCTCCTTTCCTCCCACGCCTCTTTGCCCTCTGATTCATGGACGACCGGTGTAAAATCTGCACCCTGGGGCACGGAAATATATGGTTAAAGGGAGGGAGGTGTGAGAGGAGGGGGGAGAGAGCAGAGGGTCAGGGGTCATATAGACTGAGACTGTACGTACAGGAAAGTGAGCAACATTTGTCCGTACGTCACACAGACAAGCTGACTGTCAGTGATCATCACAATTAAGCAATGAACAAAGTGATTGGTAAAAACCTGTCGAGAGCTGGTAGAGAAACCTCTATTCCAGTATAGGCCTAGATCGCAGAAAAATCTAAGTGTTATCTTTGAGTTATTTACAATATTGTGCAGCCGTGAACTGTACAAAAATAACAATTACACTTAAACAATTACATAGAAAGAAACAGTAATAACCTTTACTGTAGGTGCTGGATTATTTACATAATATATTATCATATGTGTTTTACTAACAATATCAACAATCCCTGTGTTTATCAAATTTAACAACAAAATTAATTATTTATCTCAATGTCGACAAACGGGAGAAATCTTAAAAAAGGAAAACGGAAGCTTTTTTTGTTGTAAAAATGTCTGAATTTGTTCAAGTAGTAACTGTACAAAAAGAACAATAACGCTACCATTATACTTAACTAATGACACAGAAACAAATGGAGAAGGTTGCAGGATAATTTACATGATCTTATACCTATATAAGTATTACATTTGATCATGATTTCCAGCCAAAACAGGAATAAAGTGACGCAGCTAACTGTTAGCGCTCATCACGTTTAGCCGTAAAAAAAGCGATTAATCTCTCTCAACATGAGGGACGTATTCCTCCGTCCTCCTCCTCTCTGGATCTGATCCCAGCTCCTCCGTCCCGCTGACCTCACAGAGAGGAAATGTTTTGTTTGATACTTAAGTGTGAAGAGATCTCTGTCCTCTCTGCCAAGTCTCATTACTCAGCGCTGTGTTTCGGCTGCGCTACACGAAGCAAAGGAGAAGTGTACAAGAGGAGGGGAAATGTTCTCCCAGACAGACGAGTGACTGAGTCCACACGCAGTCATCGTGATCAAAGTTAATTGGCTGCAATTGGCTGCCTAAATATTCCCTTATGCCCGGGGCCATGTAGCCTCCATCGGAGCTGCTCTTTATTTAATAGATGTGCCCCAATCATGTGAAGAAATGGCAGTTTGTGACAACGCTTACATGTGGTTTCTGCTCCACATCTGTCCCGTGTTTTGATTTCTTTTCATGTGTGATGAAACCGCATTGGCAGACTGCTTATAACATTATTGTAAAAACTAGCTCTGGTGTATCTCAGCGGGGGAAATTATTAGATTTTGTTTTGACACTTTAAAGCTTTTAGATGTCTTCCAGCCGAGTGTTTTGACTGAAGCAGCAGCGTGTGGTCTGAGGTGGGAAGTAGTGGAGTACAAATACTTTGTTACTGGACTTAAGTACATTTTGATGATAAATTACTATTTCACACGTAACTTTAAACAGGTGGGACTGAGCTTTTTGTTGGGCTTTTAAAACTCTAGATTAGGACGCAGTGAACAGATTTTGACGTCACATTTATCTCTTGAAGCCACACGTAGCTGCTCAGAGTGAGATGTGTTGATGTGAATGCAGAGGTGGGAAGTAGTGGAGTACGACTTTTTACATTTTACATTTTGAACACAAATACCTGTACTTTCTACTTCTTACATTTTGAACACAAATACCTGTACTTTCTACTTCTTACATGTTGAACACAAATACCTGTACTTTCTACTTCTTACATGTTGAACACAAATACCTGTACTTTCTACTTCTTACATGTTGAACCCAAATACCTGTACTTTCTACTTCTTACATTTTGAACACAAATACCTGTACTTTCTACTTCTTACATGTTGAACACAAATACCTGAACTTTCTACTTCTTACATGTTGAACACAAATACCTGTACTTTCTACTTCTTACATGTTGAACACAAATACCTGTACTTTCTACTTCTTACATGTTGAACACAAATACCTGTACTTTCTACTTCTCACATTTCCCAAACAGGCTGGTTCCTTTAGTTTGAATGTGTGTTTGGTGGCGTGATCATTATTATTTAGAGTCATTGCGTGCCTATTGATTTGAACACGATCCGTGTATCCATCATTTCCTGGTCTTCTCTAAAGAAGAGGGACCAATGAAAACGTTGTCATGTTGCCGTTGTTCAGCATGGAAACATTCATTAGCTAACAATGACATTATTGTTCTATTAATATAAAGGGAGGTCAGGTACTCTTTAAAACAGCTGCTAGTTATGGGTACTTTTTACTGAAGTACATTTCAAAGCCTCTTTACTTTTACTTGAGTAAAGAAGTCTAGTCAGTACTTCTACTTTCACCAGAGTATTTTTAAACACGAGTATCTGTACTTCTACTTGAGTAAAGGATGTGTGTACTTCTTCCATCTCTGTCTGAACGCTTTCGTCCGATATAAAGACGCTAAAATGATCGTCGTTAGCAATCACACAGGAGGACATTCTCCACGGACATATTGATCTCCTCCTCTTAAACTGAGCCAGGCCGAGTGTTAAGTGCCAGTTCTAACCAGTTGTGTTTCCTCTCCGCTGATTTACAGTCCTGCATCTCAGATCGAGCTAAATGCAGTCCCACTATAAATACCGCAGCCAGCAGCAGTTATGTATTTAAGCATGTGCAGAAATGCATATGGTCCTTCTAATTTAGTCTAAGCCATAAAGGGAGACCCCAGAGGCTGCAGAAAACACAGGTGCAGAGTTAGTGGCCTGAGAGTGTGTGTGTGTGTGTGAGAGAGAGTGGACTGTCAGAGTATTAACACTGTTGTCCTGCCAGCCTCTGCACAGGAACATTAAATATGGACTCTTTACAACTTCCCTATGCGAGCAGGATCAGATTAACTTCCAGCGTTCCCACACTTCCTAGAAAGTCCTTAAAGTAATCTAATTAATAAACTAAAAATAAGTCACAAAAATTAAGATACTAAGAAGTCTGAAATGCATCTTCCAACAGTCTTACAAATGTAAAAGACGTAGGAGTTATGATTCGTAATCGTAAATCACAGAATGATTGGTAATATCTCCTTTTTTTCAAGTACTTTTTTCATTTAGTTTTTTAAATAATTGCAGATACAAAGCTTTAAACTCCAGATTTTATAAGACTTACATATTTATTTGAGCAGTTATATATTTAAGCAATAGCTCACGACAGGCCGTGGTATATGCTCAGTAAGGGGCGTGGTTCGGCCCGACACGAAGCAGTTTGCTTTTCAGCCCAACTGTATACAGCTTTTCTCAGACGCGGAGGGATACTGACTTGTTGTGAAAAGTAACTACAATTCTACCCGTGGTATACGCTCAGTATATCACGGCTAAGAACCAATCAGATTGCTTGATTGGACTTGTCCGTTTTATAATCACAAATAAAGAGCACTTTAATTATGTAGTCGTTTAATTACGTACATTAAGACATCAAAAGAATTCACATGGTCTTAACCCTCACCACTGCTAAGCTAACGGTGGCTAACGTTCGTTTAGACACTCCTTTTTTAAGAAATGTAAAAGCGTCAGTGGGATATTTACTGTCATAGAACAAAATGTTAAAATCTCTCAAGTTTAATTTAACCGTAGATATTTTTTCCGGGCTCGAAACGAGGGAACAGGAAATGTAAAAGTGCTGACTCACTTCACTCCTGCAGAACTCTGTGAAGCATTTTATTGGACCCTGTGTGTGTGTGTGTGTGTGTGTGTGTGTGTGTGTGTGTGTGTGTGTGTGTGTGTGTGTGTGTGTGTGTGTGTGTGTGTGTGTGTGTGTGTGTGTGTGTGTGTGTGTGTGGTGTGTGTGTGTGTGTGTGTGTGTGTGTGTGTGTGTGTGTGTGTGTGTGTGTGTGTGTGTGTGTGTGTGTGACGCGTTGATAGAGCTGCTGAGTGACGATTCAGAGGAAAGTCAT